TTTTGAAAATGATGACGGCAACAGATGTACAAATGTGCTTGACACAATGGATGTATGAATTGTGATAAGAGTTGTACAAGCCCCCAATAAAATGATTTTTTTTAATCACAAACTGACACAGAATATTAAATTACTCAAGCAAATGGAAATAGATACATTTCTCTTAGATAACGTCATTCAGTATTTTAGAGCTGTCAGTTCCTTAAAATAATCTGTACATAGAATTTAATCAAAAGTTAAAATACCAATAGGATTTTTTCAGAACTTAAGGATAACCAAGAAAAGTATGAAAAAAAAGACATAAAATGAAGAGATTGAAACATTTTAAAACTACCAAGCTCTTCCTATTGATACTGAAAAAGAAATACTGCAACTCAAGGCTCTGCTTATAATCTTCAGTTCTCTCAGATTGAGATGTGCTGAGTGTATTCTCCCCTTTTAGTTTTAGCTTTCTGATTCCCGGGTTCTGCACATTTCATTATAGTACTTTGTTTTCTCGAGCTACTCTGTGGAAATTTTGTTCAGCTCTTTAATTTTATCATCACAAAAATAAATAAATGAAATTCACTGCTATTAAGTCAGTTCCAATTCATAGCAACCCTACAGAACAGAATAGAACTGCCCCAATGACTTTCTAAGACTGTAGCTTTTTGTGGCAGTAAAAAGCCTCATCTTTCTCTGATGGAGCAGCTGGTGGTTTCAAGCTGCTGACCTTGCGGTTAGCAGCCCAATTTGTAACCACTACACTGCCAGGGCTGCTGTCATCCCCATACAGCCCAGAAATAGGTTGCATTATACGAGGAAATTTTTATAGTGACAAAAGTGATATAGTAAGTCAGTGGGAAAATAATCACATATGTAGTAAAATGCTACTGGTGTGATTGTTCATTTATCCAGAAGAAAATTAAGTTGGGCCTCTAGTTTTCCTACAAACAAAACAAATTCTAGATGAAAAACAAAGTAGCACAAATTCCCTACCATAGCAAGTTCCCTATGCTTCTGGCTCATGGAGACCCTGTACAACTGCCTCTGTAGGATTCTGAGACTGTAACTCTTGATGTAGTAGGAAGCCTCATCTTTGTCCAAGAGTGTCCTGTCCGTCTTTATGGGAGCAGAGAGCCTCGTTTTCTCCAGCAGAATGGCTGATGGGTTCAAACCACTCCATGTGGTTTGCAGCTCAGTACTTAACGCACTGTGCTACTGAGGCTTTTTAATAATAATAATAATATCATTACTGAAATATCATTATTTAATAATATTACTGAAACAACAAGTCATTGCCATTGA